CAACATTAAACTGTATTTGCCTTTTTTTTCATCAACATTAGGTTCACTTATTTAAAAATTTAGTAGTGTAACTATGAATCATGCATTACTTATTGCGTGCCACCTTCTGTTTACCTTAGGGAATATAGCAAAAATCATGTTGCGCCAGTTGCATGTGTATTGAGACAACTACAGGGGAAAATTTTAGAGCTTTCTTTGTCCTTTTTAAGTTTTCCTTAATTGTTACAGTTTTGCCATTCATTTCTAGCCCTTGTTGCCCTACCTCAAATTTGATTCCTTTTTTCAATAGTCTCTATATTTGCTCTTAAAGATGTCTGCTTTGGCGATGAAAAGATTGACAAGATTTTAGTAGTTTCAGTACCCTTGCTAGGTATTTGCTAACTGTGCTTAAAGACTGTTATGCTGATGTAGTATTTTATTTGTGGTATTGATGCAATATAAGATGTAAGAGCTTCAGAACTTTTTTTTATTATCAGCAAGAGCTTGAGAACTTTCTTTGTTCTTTTTCTTAAATGTTTTGGTTTTTGCCATTCATTTTCAGTCCCTGCTTCCATGCCTCTTATTTGACACCTAGTTTCAAATTCGATGGTTTCCATGTGTGCCCTTAAAGATGTCTGCTCTGGCCATGGACAAATTGACTCGATTTTTGAAGGTGACTTCTTAGTTGGTTACGGTTGAGTACTCTCTTGCTATTTTTATTATATCAATGCTTTTCTTTTCTTTTTTTTTGGGGGGTGAAATATAAGGACTTGCTAATCATACTTAGAGGCTGTTAATTTATTCTGATGCAGTATTTTTAACTTGTGGTATTAAGATAATATATGATGTTACACAGTGGGAAACATTTGCAAATCTATTAAGATGCTTGTTAGAAACAAAGTTGATAATGTGTATGATTCAGGAAGTACTAAATTTTTTGTTTGATTGACCAATGTTTGTATCTGAGTTTCCTTTTGCTCCAGTTAGCAATTTAATTTCAAGTTCATCTGAAACTTTCTCACAGACCTATTTGTATGGATAATAATTCTTGAGTGTTATTTTATGCATGGGATTTAATCATCAGTGATCTTTCACAGGAAAGTGAAACGAATTTCCAAAAAGAAGGGTTGGGTGTCAAGAATATGGATGCCTCTTTATAGAGTGCAGTGCAAAGACTTGAATGAATGTAGAACAATGCTATGACAAGCTTGTCTTAAAGGTAACTAAAATTCAGTGTACTTTATTATGTAATTGATATAGCCTGATATTTTTATTAGATAGCCGTGCCTTGAGACAAGTGTACATGTTTGTTTGGATACAAGAGAAACATGGAAGCTAATTAAAGCTTTTGAATTTGGAGAATTTAGCTGTTGATATACTAATATACTCCTGTTCCTATTTTACTTCTGAGACTTCAATTAATACCATATAATGTGTTTGCATAATCCTAGATAATGTACTAATTTTCTCTGTCACAAACTTACCTCATATAAATGGCACAAAGTGCATTTTGGTTAGCGTGTATAATTGAAGGGAAATATGCAGTATTCTAACATGATTAGAAATCAGCATACAAATTTGTTTTTGCCTATGTAATTATTTTGATCATACAAATAATTATTTTTGACATTCAAGTGTTGGGACATGTATAACTGCTAATATCACTGAATCATTTGATTCATAGTAAAATTGCTAGAATCTTTCTGCATTTTTTTGGGCATGGATAGGGTATCAGTTTTCTCTGGCATTTGGGCTACCTTTTAGTGGTTGTGGGTGAGACTTTATGTTGTTTAAACCCATCAAAATGGGTTTTGAATTTATCTTTTAATTTGTAGGGATAGTGTAGGGTTGAGATGGAAAGAATATTTCCTTCCTGGCTAAAATTTGATGCTCTGAGAACTGTGGTTGTCTATCTGAATTACTGCACGTCTATTTGCGATAGGCTGAGGGAAGGCACAATGTGGCCTAATGTTGGATTGTTTTCATCATCACCATGTCCTCCCATTTTCAAATATGTGAAAGGAAATTAATTACAAATGCCCTGCCACAATTCTTCAATGTTCTTTCTATGTTAAAAAGTCTGTAATTTGCATAATATAAACTAATAGATTATTTTATGGAATCCACATCTTCACAGAAGTTATTAAATCTTAGGCTCAGATTATTAAATCCTAGAACCATGTACTGACAGGAAGAATCAAGCATATCATGCCCAATCCATCTTGCATGAACAAATCAAATTTAACATTTGAATTCTATTGTCGCGCAGATAAAAGCCACCTACAAAATTTTGAGGGATGCATGAAAGTACTTCATGCTGTAGAAGTTGTTATAAGGTGTGATAAAGTACTCAGTTGGGATTGAGCAAATCCCAAGTCCTTAAACTGGATTAGGGAGGGGGGGTTAAAAGTCAGATACCTCCTTAAAAAAAATAAAAAAAAAAAGAAAAAGAAAAACAAAACTTGATTACAGAGGAGGTAGGTTTTCCAGGTAAATTGGAAATAAGAGGATCCCCCAAACCCAAGGCCTGGAGGTTAAATACACTACCTTGGAATTCTATTGTCTTGTAAATAAATGACTCCTACAAAATTTTGCAGGATATAAGTACTTCCTACTGCAAATTTTGTTTTAAGGTGTGATAAAGTGCTTGAAAATGTATGAAAGTTACATCAAATGATAGCACTTCTTATATTTTATTTCCTTATATCCTTAAAATACATGACAAATTTCAATACATATCACTTATCTAGTTTGTCATGTTATCTGTAAGAGAGAAAATCTGACCCAATATTAATTTCATATCAATATAAATTGTGATTCTATACCACCAAAAGCATGTACTAGATGGAATATAAGTAGTGGACTGCAAAAGTCTTAATCAAAAGATTTGGATATTTATGTTATAAAAAATCACTTAATTAAATTTTCTTCAAACATTTCTATATCTATTTATGATATTACTATGAAGAATTTGGTGTTAGTGGATTGCAAAACATTAATCATCGAATGAACGGCCTCTCCTTTTTTATTAAAAGGTCTCTCTTAATATAATGGTTTTTTTTTTTTTATAGTCCAATATAATATCAAGTCTTTAAAATACTGTTTTATACTACTAATTACAATTTCATTTTTAACATCTGAGTTCGGTTATTATATATTAAGTTTTTATATCTAGTTGAACAAGAAGAATGGTATTGGAAAACAAGAAAAATATGAAAGAGCAATGAACAAAATTAGTTCCATAAATACCATGTAAATATAAGGGCATGACGTCCTCTAGTGCCTGTTTTCTTGATTTCTTCCAACTTCACTAACTTGCGCACACCATTTTTTCTTGCTTTTATTTTTTTAGTACATTGATTGTTAACTCCTTAATATAATAAAAGTTTAAATTT